TTATCATCACTGTCTTGTCCGTATATTGCTTAATATGTTGTACAGTAACTGACATCTTTGATAATGGCTTATGTAAGCCGAAAGCTTAGATTGGATTAAAAAATATGGATGAATATCAGGATTTTTTTTCTTTGTTTAATGTTAATGTTATTAAGCTTATTAGACGTTATGAAAAGAATTAACATAAAATAAATAGACAATACTTGTCTATATCATTTAATGAAACATGTATGAATGAAAAAATGCTGCCTAAATACACACAATAGAAGATTTGAGTAAACTTCAAAGTCCCTTTTTAAAATTTAACATTGTGTTGGAAACTTTTTGTTGTGTAGGAAACCTACCACCCCTCTTGAAGATGAACTTGTCTACAAACAAAGACGTTAAATAGCGGCATGTAAAAAGACAGACATAGTTGGAGAAGTTCTTGGCTGAGCTAGTTATAGACTACTCAGGCGATTTCTGTACCTACTTACCAACTGAATAAACCCCTTTTTATTGTTACGTGTTATTTGGCGTTTGTCTTTATTAACCCCAAATCAACATCATAACACTTTTGCATCAAACTTATTATCTTATTGTTGTTTTGTTAATAATAACAGCAACAATACAGTCTTTTATGGGCAATGATAGACAACAAAGAAAATTCAGGTAATATTAACTTTGTTTTTATATTAATGAAAACTGCTGCTTTGTGGAACAGACTGCCAGCAGGCTGTTTTCCCAATCACTGCAATCTTGACCTCTTCAAGTTAAGGGTTAACCATTATCTTTCCTGCATAACTTCTTGCTTTTTCTTATGTTCAGACAACACTATACAATAAACCTCTACTTTGAGTAGCTCTTGGGCCTTGTGTGTATAAAATGTTTTTTCCATGTTTATAAACTTTGATTAGCAATCCTATTTATTAAAGTAGATATGCATAATACTCTTGATTTTTCTTTTTTGTTTATACTTCAAAGATATTGTGCACAAAAACACTTTTTAAGTAAAAGTGAAAATGAAAAGTGATCAGTTAATTTTTGTATTTGATGCCATGTCATAGAGAGTACTTCACAGAAAGGACGTGCTATGCTATGTCATGTACATGGCATCAACTCATTCCCTTTTCCTTTGGTGAGGAGGAAGTTCCATTCAGACAGCTTCTTCCTCAAAACTGTCAATTTGTGGAACAGACTCCAAAGAGGATGCTTCCCCAACCATTACAGTCATAACCTCTAGGGTCAATTGTTATCTATTCTACATATCCTCATAATATGCACTTCTTACCCCCTCCCCTTATGTACTTATAACAACTTCATTCAGTAACACCCTACCTGAACAATAGTATTAAAAAAAAAATGGTTGGCATACTAAAATGTTATCTCTCTTGAATTTCACTCAAAAATAATCAAAGATAAAATGTTTAAAGTTAAAATAATTAAAGATAAGCCCCAAATGTTCTGGACTCTTCTACTTTATCTAATATTAAAACTTCTGTAGTTCAAGAGACGAATGCTATTGTCTAAACATACCCAAATGAAAACCCACTGAGTAAGTGGTTATTTTAGAATGTAATGAGATACAAAAGCTGCCTGTTGGCATATGGGAAAGCTAGAAATAACAAAAATGTTTTCAGGTTTCATTCACTCACAGAATGAATGTTTCTGCTGATGCCTAATAACAAAATTATGCTATTGTTGTTTTTGAGTAGAGAATAGATGCCTTTAAATGTTCTCAAGTCAGATTCTGTATCTTGCTTATTTGTTCAAAACTTTTAGGTATAAATTAACTGTTTTCTTAATAACTTCAGAAAGTTCTTAAAAAAATTAAATTAGAATTAAACAATACATATGAAGTTGATGCAAAAGTTTATATGGGAAATCTAGGAAATCTTTAAAGTTTATGCAACTCTTTATTAATTGTGCAAGCAGCCAAGGCAATAAAGCCACTAAGACATAAGGGTTACTGAGTGTGAAAGAATTTGAGAAAAGGAAAAACATTAGAATAAAAGAACAGGAATTAAGAAAACAAAAGGTAACAATTGATATAGCATTTAAATTTTTGAAGATCAAAGTTGACTAGGGAGCAAGAAGCCAAAAGAGAGTTGCACAAGTGGGAAGTGTGAGAGAAGAAACTGTTAGCATAGAACTTATGGTTACATCTAGTCATTTAAATTGTATAATGAAGAGACCTAGCTGCCAATCTAGCACTGTGCTTAAATTCATAAACTCAAAATACCAAAAAGGAAAGCTCATCAGGACAATTTCCATAAAAATATTTATAGAAAATGCACAGGGAAGCTACATTAATGTAGTGAAAATGCACAGGGAAGCTACATTAATGTAGTGGGACAGTGACTACAGTTGACATTCCAGGTCAGGTCCAATAACATTGCAGATTCTTCTTTTGATTTTATCAAGAATCTCTAAATATTTAACAGAAGTACTAGACCAGATGTGGCAACAATATTCACTGTCTGGAAGAATGGTAGACTTATATTAGAGTGCATCTTAGTAAAGGTATCACATAACAAAGAGATGCTAGTTGGTATAAAGGTGCAGACATACCTAATATGATATGTTTATACAAGGTCACAAATCCCTGTGTGGTTGTCCAGGGTGTATGACAAAGGCATGAAAGGATAAGGTGGCAAATTTAAAATTTAACAAGAACCATAGTTTATTTGTAGTTTGTGCAAAAGATTTATCACTAATATATCAGAAAATCATTGTTTGATTGTAAAACTTTTGCAGAGAGTATATCAAAGTAGTGATTGGAATGTAATCAGTTCTGTTTTCTCATATTGTCAATTGTTGTGAAATCTGTTCAGAATTTCCAGTGAATGATATGAAGGAAATAATTAATTGATGTTGAGTTATTGAATTGTTATTTGCTTGTTCTGCACAGCTTCAAATCCACCCAATTATAGAAGTTTTTAGTATTAAAACTAGAGAATGATCAGCTCAAAAGGATTTATAATTTGTTTGCTGATTGTTCTTCTTGTCAGAAAAGATAAATGGTTAAATTAAAATTTTATTGTGTTTTGATCAACCTTTTACACAAATTTGCACTGGCAAGTAATGCAAAAAAGCTGTTTGGAAAATGATGTGTACTATATTTTCTAAACTAATACTCAGCTATTTTTAAATGCAATGTTCTTTTAGGGTATAGGCAATCATGACTCTCCACAGATCCCTTCTCTGTATCATATGCGAATTGCCATGCATTTTTGGAAAAGATAGTGGGGTGCTTTCCTATTGCTTTTTCCACAGTTTAGAATTTACAGTTTTTCTTCTCTTAGGTTGATTGTCAACCTACTATTTAACCCATAGTGAGCAATAGAAGAGTTATATTCATACTTTTCCAAAAGACAGTTGTATGAAATTGAATGCAATAGATTAGCCTGGAATTTGAACTTGTCTTGCCAATTTTACTTACTTCACTGATATCTGTTACACTATCTGCAACCATGCTTGTGTCTGGTCGATTGACTGAGGTCACTAGTAGTGAAGGTGATAGCTTACCCATTGGTCCACTACTGTCAACTTCATCATGAGTGGTGTTCTTAAAAACTGATGGGGTGGATCATGACTCAGTTTTTTTTGTCATGCTCTTTTCTTTAACAGCAATGTTTCTGATTAGCTCCTTTGAGATTTGATTTTATATTTTTGTGGGAGGAGATTTGTTTTGTGAGCTGGATGTAATGCTTGGGGCCCCTATGCAGAAAGTGACTTTATTTTTAGTATTGCTTTCTTAGTGTTCACATCCGGCTCACAGATTTTGATGTAGATTGAATCAGAAAGAAATCTCGTTTGAAGCAGAGTATAACATTGATGAGTATTATAGAAATGTACAATATTCTATATATATTTGACTTCTTTGTAAGCTATTTTTTGCTTTTGTCAAAACAGTTTATGCTAATAGTCATCAAAAGTTTAATCAACTATATTCTAGAAATTTATGTCAACTTGAATGATTTTGACTACTCATTTTTGTGGTTTGAACAGGCTGTTCATACTAGTTAACAATTAAGATATTTAACTCCATTTAATTCTTGTAATAACTGACTTGATTGATTTTTTTTTAGTTAGTAATTTTGATGTAAAAACAAATTTGATAAAATTCAAGTTTAACGTTGTAAAAAAATATTTTTGTAACAAAGTTTTCCGGATTTCAAGAAAAAATTCCATTTATTTAAAAAACACAGATATAAAAATATATTACAACACATAAAATTTACGTATAGCGTTAATGAGTTTACTAAAAAATATTCAAGTTTCCATTACACCAAAGAAATTCGCTTGATGTTCCACCATCATAAGTGAATTTCTTTGGCGTAAATGGAAATTTGAATTTTTTAGTTGGAACACTTACATGAATTTTATGTGTTACACTACACTACACAGTATGTCTGTGTTTATTTTTATTTTATTTTAAATAAATGTAATTTTTCTTGAAATCCGGAAAACTTAGTTCGAAAATATTTTTTACGATGCTAAACTTGAACTTTACCACAAATTTAAATAATTTTGATTTCTTGTTGACCTGGTCAAACTCAAAATCTATCTTGATTCTTGAGTCTATGATGATGCAATCCAAATGAACCGGACTTATTATCAGTGACTTCAGCAAGCGAGCACGTCTCCTTCCCTGCGTTCTGAGTTAACCTTGATTATAGAAAGCAATTTACGTTAAATTCATTTCAAATTAAAAAAAAAAGTGAAAGTATACTACAAAACAAATGAATGAAAATTGAAAAGTTTTTCGTTAATTTTATTTATTTTCGTATGTGTTGTAAAAGAAACTTATCTCCGATAATAGATAAATAAAAAGACTTTCATGTAGGAGGAAAACTGGATATCCCAAATGTTGGAAATTAATGGAAACGTAAAAAAAAGATAAGACTTTTGAGAAGTAGGCATACAAAAGTCGAAACGTCCCAGCTTTCATGCTCCGCCCAGGGATAGACACGTGACTAGGCGTTTTTTTCGTCATTAATATTCATGAGACTTTCAACATGGCGACGAGCGTCGTACTGTTGATATCTTCTCTGCTTGCAATTGTTCACCTGAAGGTAGTGTGGACCGCAACACACTGGGTAGTTACCGAGGATGGAAGAATTCAAGCGCAGGTAATAATCATTAAGTTTTGAAAGAACAATTTAATTTGTTGGGAAACAGTTGAAACGACAGAAACTCACAAATTCTTTTCTCTTTACTTTTTTTTTTTTTTCAGGTTGTACTTAGTGTTGAGTGCACACGCAATATTATAGAGTTTTTTTTTTTTTCTTGTTTGTTATCTTCTTGAATTCCAGCAGAGACCGGAGCTATTTTATCTATGACATTTAATCCAACAAGCTACTTTTAGGTGTGCTAATGCTTCAATTTATCTTCAACGACTTGTAAATTACCTTCTTTCTCTCTATTACCTTTTTTTCTCCCCTTGTGTTTTTCCTGTCTCCTGCGGCAAAAAGTGTTGTTAAGGCACTCCCTTAACTTGTTGGTATCAAAAACATTCAACTCCTCCCACATTACTTTTTTTTTTTTTTTTTAAATCAGCCTTTATAAATATATATTTTAAATTATTTATCTTTAAGAAATTCTAATTTATGTAATTATAGTGTTTTGGGGGCTTAAAAAAGTGAAGAATGCATTTCTAAGCTTGAATTGCGAGGGTGGCAATACAAGTTTTTTTTTTATTGTTTTTTTTTTTTGGATTGTTTTAATTGTATTTTAATTTTACTGATAAAGTTGAATCACGAATGAATTAAAAATAAGATTTAACTTCTCTCTGTTATCTGAAGCTTTTTGATAGCGTGTATTGATCGAAGTAGTAAAGGCCAAAATTACTGAAGAAATATTTCAAGTTCTTTCAACAACATGCAGTAAAGATTACAAAAATTCAAGACGTAAAAAATAAATAAATCGTAAGAAACGGCCAGGAATCACTGTTTCGTCATCTAAGATCCTGTTATTGTGCAAACCAACTATTTGTTTTTATTAATATAAACAAAGCTCAAAATGTGATAGTACTGCAATTTTTTTTGGTTGCTATTGTCGTTAAATGCTTGTCGCATGGAAAAAATTGAGATGACGATTGAATTTCATATCGTCATAATGTTTAATTTTGTTTTGACTTGTGTTTTTTTTTTTTTTTTTTCATGAATGAACTTGCTTTTTTATCTGATCACCTATAAAGTTTTTCATTGTATTAATATTGATTGTTGTACTAGCACATGGAACTGTAAATAAATACTTATTTATATTCTCCATCATTATACCCTCGTCATCCTACCTACCTTGTCTTCCTCAGCTGGTTATGGGAAAGTCGCAATTACTGTACACTCCGTAGTCAAAATAAAAATTTCTAATCCAGATTGTCTATTTTTTCTAACTTTTCTATTTCTTCGATCAATTCTTAACAAAAATATCTAAAAGATACAGTTAAGATCATGAAATGAAGCAAACAGTCAAATAATTTTGCAGTGTTTTTCTTAATATTACAACTTTTTAGCCAACATGATTGGCAAGAAAATTTAACTAAAAAATAAGATTGGCGCCTAATTTCTATTGTAACAACAATATCATATCTCTTTTTTGATTTACACAATTTTATTTTTATGTCTACGTTTTAATTAGACTTTAAAATAAGGTTAACTTAATACAAAATGCGTTAAGAGTTTTTAAAGTAATTTAAATGCAATTGTTTCATCATTTCACGGATTGATAGACACGCTCTGTTGTACACTACGGTCATTATTGGAAATCACTTGGACGAGATGTCAAATTTCAAGACAAAAAATGTTGCATTAAAAAGTAAAATATTTGAACATTTAATGCGCCTCTTAGCAGCACATTTTTTTTTATTAAATTTTATCGAAAGCCTGATAATTCAACAATCAACATTAATGTAGGAATGAGCAATAATAATGAAAAAAATATTCAGGTCTTTTGTTAATGAAAATTAATTTATTTACAAATAAAAATACCAAACGCATAGATCTTACATTGCTAGAAAATTAGGCGCTGTTCTAATTTTTTAAGTTGACACTGATGCATAATTTACTAATTACAAAAATCGTAAAATCTTAGTAAACAAGGCTATAATCGTAATTAGAAAGAAACAAGGGAAATAACTCGGAATAAGTTAAATTTAAATTTTGTTTGGTTTATTTACCTTCTCATAAAAAATATTTCACTAAATAATAGTATCAAACAAAATTTTAATTTACTCTTTTTAGGAAACTTGGGCACCTTACTCAATGATGTATTTTCAATGCATATGTTACAATTTTAAGGGCGTTTTAATTACGTTATTTTTTGTGATAAATATTAATGTTGTGCACTTTTTACAAATTCATTAGGATTTTAAAAGGAAATGAAAATAGAAAAAAATTATAAAGTTACAAACAAAACTAAAAATTTATACACTTTTAACATATATTAAACATGTTTTTGTTTTATTCTGAGTGTAATAAAATAACTCCTTTCAGAAATTCAGACGGATTTGTTTCAGTACTTTAATTCCACATTTAATACTTTTCAATACAGGCCAAATTTACTCAATTTTGAGCTAAAAATGTTTTTTCATAAAATTGTTGAAATGTGTACATTTAAAAAAAATATTGATTTAAAGAAATTATATTCCAGTTTTGTTGGTAATTTGTAGGCTGATACAGTGTTCAATATGCGACGGCCATATGACTTGGTGGCCTTCATGAAGCAGGAAGAAAGAGCTGTGATGTTAGATAATTTGAAAAAAGAGCTTCTGAGCCGCAAAGATGAGATTGATAAAAGTGAAGATCGAGATACTGGTAAGTTGATACCATTTGATGTTATGTTTGTGAAATGAATTGTCAGAATTGTTCCAAATTGATTTTGAGGGCATTGATATATACTGCCATCAGAGGGTACTGATGTAAGTTTATAGTTTTGGAGGAATAGAATTTTGCAGATTTATTATTTGTTGATTCAAACTGGCATTTTTTTATTTTTAAATAGTAAAAACCATTGAATAATGGACATTCTATATTGTCAAATAGCATGTTTCTAACAAGTCACCTCATCATCTGTGCATAGCTGAATTTGTTTTAAATATTTGTCAGATTTCTTAAAAATCAAATTATATCAGTAATTTAAAAAAATGCTTTTTTTTTTTTTTTTTTTTTAAAGGAATGATCAGGAAGGGAAATACTGTAATTATTAAATGAAAACCTTAAATTCAAAGCAAATTATCCTGGATGGCTAACATGCTTTCCATGAATATTATCATGCAATGTTGCCAACATTGGTAAATATCAATAAAAAAAATGCATTTGATTTTGTTATATTCATTGTCTTTCTATGTACTTCACGAAATATTCCTGAAATAACCATAGTGTTGCACTAAGCTAACAAGTCAAGCAAACATTTGTAACTGAGCACATATGGACCTGTTCCAATTTCCACTTTCTTGAGCAGTGAAGTTGTACATGCTTATATTGTACTATTTGTAGAAAATGAGTGAAAGTAGATCTGGAGCAGCAGATTAGCATGAAGTTTTGTGGGGAGTTTGGTAAAAGTACTGGTGATACATCGTTAAAATGACTTATGGTGAAAATGCTATGAAGAAATGTTTTAGTGGTATATGCAGTTCAAAGAAGGACAAAGAGATGTATACCAAAATCTCAACATATGCAAATGTAGACAGAGCAAACTTTGGTGTGTTCAGATCAAAAAATTAAGTGTGTGACTGAAAGCAGAAGAACTGAATATGATTAGGGAAACAGTTTGGCAGATTCTGACAGAGGTTTTGGGAATAAAAAAAAAATGATGTATTTAGAGTTTGAAAGTTTCTGGCTAATAAATCTATTATGAAAATGTGTCATCTACTTCATTCATCAGAGTTAGCCTCCTGTGATTTTTAGCTATCCCTAAAATAGAAAAATGCCCTGAAAGGACAAAGTTTTGCTGCCATCTTTGATATCTAACAATATGTAACAACATTACTGAAATGTATTCTGGTAAACAACTTCTAAGAATGTTTCAAGTAATGGTACCATTGTCTCATGAAGTGTATAACTTCACAAGGGGACTAGTTTGAAGTTTGTAATGACCAGGTAAGTAAACTTTGTTCTCACAGGGCCATTTTAAGAATTAAATTGTCACACCTTGTATACTAAGTTTAATTTCTAAAAATTTGGGATGAACCATTTTTCTAAATTTTTCTGGTTTTTAACATAAATTTAAATTCAATTTGTTGATTACCTACATAAGTTAACCCCCCCCCACACCACATAGTTCTAGTAAGATTATGCTCAGGCTATATGTTAAAGGTATTTTTACTCGTGATTATTTGATTTTTACTTATTTCCTTGGAAACTGGATACAATAAAGTTGCTCAAAATTAAATACATATACTTGCTTCATTACCAGCTGAAGTTAGTCATCATCAGAACTAAAATCATCTATTTTTTCCATTCCAAACTCATCATTAAAGAATGGTCTTTAGGAGCTCTTGGCCATTTGTGAATCAATAATTTATTGTCATAATACTGAAATCATCTGTTGATGAAAAACAATTGCTAATTTTGAAGCAAATGCGGTTTCATGGCAGCCACTAGATTAAATGATGTATATACATTTTTATTATTAGATTTAGTTCTAAACAAATGTGTTTTGATGGTTGAGTATAGTTGCTTTCTAAGGAAGACCTAGTCAAAAAGTGTTCAGAAAAGCAGAATATCTGCTACTTAACAATAGGGAAGTTTGTGGGTTTATGAAAACTGAAGGCTAAAGAAAGTTGGTTAAAATTGAAAATATTGTTAATAATGCCAATACATTCAGATTTAAAAGAGACCATTTAGTACCAGACTTGAATGAAGTTGAAATTTTTCAGTATGAATCACTATGCAACAGATTACATGCAACACTAGCTGATAATGGAATATTGGCCAGGTCAGTGTCATGACTTAAGCATCATTGAATAAGTATGAAGAACATTAATCTTGAAGAGTTGTGGAACTCGGTCACAAAGAGTTGCATTTTACCTAGGATGAAAAAGATCTGCATACCTCCCCAACTGCAATGAAGCAGTGATTTAACAGAAACCATGCAAAATATTAATAACTAGTCTAGAAGCTGCCCTGTGAATGGCTTTTGGAAAAAAAAAAGAAAAAATGCATATGAGCAATGTACAGGGTCCTGCTTAAGTTTTAATTATGGTTTAATTAGACAATATCAATTGCAATGAAAAGTGGAATTAAAGTTAAATCTTTAATAAAGAACTGTTTTTTAAACCTTTCACTCTTTCGATGTTTAAATTTAACTTTAAATGAGTTATTTATTTAATTTTTAATGAAGTGTAACTACAAGTAGTTACTACTTGTTACTTCGGGTTGTTTTTGATTTGCTGAGATTGAAAAACGTACAGATGGACACACATACACTGCATTTTATATAGATGTACTGTAACTTCCTGACACTTTCCAGACATTTCTGTATTAAAACTTTCATGTGAGGTGGCTTAGAACTTGTACATCCATGTTTGAGGGATTGTCTTATGTTTGCATAGTCTCATTCAGAAAAACTGTTGCTGCAAATACAAATAATTCAGAAAGGTCAATATTTCACTTGTAAAGACATCAAAATCTACTTGTAAGCTGGTGAATCTTAGAAATTTACAATAATTTAAAGTAGCTGAAGACCTTTTTACAGTGCAGTAGAAATGAGTTAAGATGTTGCCTCTTAAGTACAATAGCTTAACTAAACCTAGTTATTTTCTTTAGATTGTTGCGGACCCGGTAGCGTGCAGTGCTGGTTTATTAAAAAGTGGCCTTGTGCCAGACACTACACAAAACTACCGAATCCACAAACGAGGTAGAAATATATTGTGTGAGTGAACTTAGTGAGGAAAAGGGGTCATTCAACAAGTGCATAAATAATAATACAAGTAGATAGCTGGAATTAAATGACAAAAGGCGTCTGGTTGAAAAACATATATGAAATTTTATTATATTTAAACAAGTAATTGTCTTGACAGTTGAGACCATTAGTAAAAGTGTTCTGCACCAAAACAGAAAACCAAGATGGCCAAGGCAGGAAAAAGTTCGATCAGAAAGAAAGTTCTGGAAAAATGACTTGTTAAACGAAAGGTGTATGTGTACACAAATAGGAAAATTACTCACTGTGAACTTTGATAGTGTGAGTGTATGTAATATTTTTTTAGGTACTGGTTCAAAGTAGTTAGAAGGTTCAAAGGTGTATGAACAGATTATCAACTTTCATTGAGGAGAAATTCAGAGTTGTTTGCATCAAAACGAGGTTGAGTCTTGGAATGGTGTAGGGCGACTGTGTTGTAGAACTCTGGTAGTGAATAGAGGAAAGTTCAAAAGTTGTTTGCATCAAGGCGAGGTTGAGTCTTGGAAAAATATATATTGATGACGGTGTCATAGGAACTCGACATTTTCTAGTTGAAAACGGAGAAGGTTCAACACGTTGTTGAATCAAGACAAGGATGAGTCTTGGAAAAGTATAATATCGACATGTTGAAGTTTTAGTTAAGAATAAGATATTCCGGCCCGTGTATGGGTTAAGGGCATGGAATAAATGAGTTGTCCGTCTAGCTTGAAAATCGGGATGCAACTGAGTTGGAAACGCTGGACGTCTGTGACGTCAAGAAATGCGCGGGAAAAAATTCAAAATCCGTCCTAGACAGCTATCAGGAGTAGCCAGCAAGGTCGAAGTCGACAACAAAAGGATGGCTACTGCTATGTCTAATTGAATGAGAGAGAGGAAGGCGTGCAAACCGCGCACACACACACACACACACACAAGTGTGGTAGGAAAGGAGGAAAACTCGCGCGCGCGTAAAATATAGGTGGAATTACTGTCTTATTCCACAAGATTCCATTTTCTCTTTTTTTCCTTATGATTTTTTCAAGAAAGTAAATTTAACTTAAAGTACAAATCTGTGCTTTAAGATTTTCTTGTTTGTAACTAATAATATAGTTACATTTTATAATTTTGTGTATAATAAAGGGCATTTGTCTGTGTATTAGATCTTTGGTTCCATATGTCTTCCTTGGAACATGCTGAATCAAAATATGTAGTTGTAAGGGTCTAAAAAATTGTACTTTTGAAATTTAAGCTGGGCACATACACACAAAAAAAGTTTAAACCAAAATTAATGATTCTTTTCTTTTATATATTTAAATGGTGACAAAATATTAAATTGTAATGAATATTATAATAAATAAAATAATGTTTAGTTATAAATATTATTAATATTGCTCGTTATGAATTTGTACATTACTGGTGTTGTTTTGATATATTAGACATTATTAGTTGTACAATATATCGGACAGATATATCGAACAAGTTTTTGCCTTTATCTAAGTTAAAATATCTCAATTGCTTTAAACTAAAAATCCTATAATTTTGAGTCGTTAGTTTAACCACTGTTTTGGTAAATTTACATTTTTATAAGTAATAAATCTTAAATAAAATGAAGTTTTTTAATTTTGACAGGTCTGATGCTGAATATCATTTTCTTGTTTTGTCTTCTATTATTTAGATCTTGAACAGAGATTTTATCGATCCGAACCAGATTGTATTGCTGCTGGGAAACCTCTACCAGAATTTGATCTCTATATTAGCACTGTGCTACCACTAGAAAACAAAGGCATCCGGTAAGTAATTATTGTTATGTTTGCTGTTTTTAAAGCTGTCTGAATTTCAAATTTTATTACAATTTCACTTTATTTAAAATTTGCTCATCACTAAAGTTTTTATTTTTTTATGCTCGTTTGATGATTTAAATGGAAAATATTGATCTAATCAGACTCCTTAATTATAATTTTATCAATTCATTTTTTTTGTACCTTTTTTATGAAATTTGCCAATTTTAGTTTTCATTCAACCATTTGTTTTTCTACTTATATCTTATCATTTATGATTGTTTAAAGATATTTTCATGCACAAGCTTTTACAAAATTATAAATTTTTTCATAACAAAACTGCATGAAAGACCTATTACAAATTTAGAACATTTAAATTATATTATTTAAAATTCTAAAATTGATACTTGCAAAGATTGTGATTTACCCTTGTTTGAACCTTATCCTCAATGAGCAGAAATGTTTCATGTTATTTTTTTTATCTTCTATTAACATTCACTGGTATAAACTTCAAAAAAATTTAATCACTTTAGATATTTCATCAATAGTCCAACAATAATCTTCATTGATTGTCAAAATCTTTGACATTTTTTTGGTTTGTTTAAGGTTGACTAGATCATGCTTGGTAATCAAGTGACATTACACCATATTTGAAATGCAAATATTGCTCTTCTATTTGTTTTATAAAAGGAATTTTCATTTTTACAATGGTTTCAGCAGCAGTTTTTCCAAAAAGAAAAAAACTTTATACACAATATCTTATTTTATCAGCTATCACAAAAATTGACAAATGTGCTTGAAAACACCAGGAAATTTTTTTTTTTTCAATCCAAAACCACATGATGTGGCAGACTAGCTCAGAAGAGTGATTTATGATATCCAGTTTGTTTGTTATATTCATTTATTTTTTTTGTCTACCTTGTGTATTTTTGATATAAAAGAAAATTTAGAATTTAATATTTTCTTTGCTAAATGTGCTTAATTTTTAGGTAAATATTTTTTGTCTGTGAAGACATAAAATATCTATTTTCATTTTTACCTTTAATTGAAATAAGCATGATTTAGCTCAAGCCTCAGTTTTTCATTTGTTTATATATCTAGTAAGGGTTCCTATCTTTGCAGTCAAGAAGAACATATTGATTTTAAAGCTGTTCAGAGTAGTAAACCTCTTCCACCTGATTGTACTCAAGTGATAGACCTTGACTACAGCATTCATGCTTTCGAGCATCTTGAGGTTTGTATTATCATTTCAATGAGTTTCAGCAATGTTTTGATACCGTAAGATTTATAGTTTTAATAAATTCTTTTTCCAAAACAAATGCTCAATGAAATGATTATTAGTGGGATTCTCTATTGGGTTAGAAAAACAAGATTTGGTGCTGTTTATTTTTATAAGATAACATATCCATCATAAATAATTCTTACATGTAAATTAGAAAAACCTTTCCAGAAAAATATCAGTTGTTTTTTTTTTCTTTGTTCAGGCCATAATGAAAAACCAGTAAATGTGTATGTTTGCTTCTTATTAATATTTTACATTTCAAATGTTTGAATTTTGTCTTGTGTAAAATAACATTCATATAATTTCAATGCATTTTGTCTATTTTAAATTGTTGTATTTTAAATAGTTTTAATTACCAATTATTATATTACTACCAAAGTTGGTATTTAATAATTCAACTTTATTCATTGTGGGAATAATATATTGCTTTTATTTAAAAATGTTCTTTTAGGGTATGAAAGATAGAAAGAATTTGTCAGGCACTGCTGAACTTGGTTTAAAAAATGCCATTCCTCATAGAGATAATGTAGATGATTATGGGAATCTCATTTATGAAGCCATGAAAAAAGTGAGTTGAAGAAATTTAATATTTTTTCAAATTGATTCTTAATTTTCAGGCATATCACTTCTACATAAATGGTTAACATAAATTGAAATAATTTTCTGAACATTTTTACATTGAGTTTTTAAAGTTATTTTTCAATAAGATGTTTCTGTTAAGGCATCTTAAATTAATTTTCCTAATAATTTTTCAAATTAATTTTGATCTTGTAGTTTTTACTAAGAGTTTGTTGTTTTATTAGTTTCTTTTTTTATACAGTTTAATTCATATTTTTTAATATATATTATTGACTTAGAAATTTTATTTGTCACTGTTTCTGAGTTGCCTATGATCGCATCATTTTTTTTTTTTTTTTATGAGATTTTAAACAGGCTATAAGTAACTTTTATTAGATTTGATCAAGTAAGAATTGCTTTGAAAAGATTTTATGTATCATTTACTCCATCTTGAGTCAATGATTTTTATGGTTATATTTTTAAAAAATTTTCAGAACAAGACTTCATGGGTACTTTTTAACATGGCAGCTTTCTATTGGCGAATAAAGGGAGATTCCTATCAAGTAATTGAGTGTCTACGAAGAGCATTACATTTTTCCCCAAGGTATGCTATTCATTTTCATGAGATATATTCATGGCCTCTCGTGTATATATGTGTGTGTGTGTATATATATATATATATATATATATATATATTGGGTGTAATGGCAAAATTGTCCAAATCATTTAATAGCATAATAGTACATTTGTTGGGCTAAGCTTTGAACTGTTGCATCTTAGAAATGATTAGTTATCTTACTGGTCTGAAGTTATGCTAAATCCAGAAAATAACTTTTTACTTCAATAACAAATAAAATCATCAACACCTATAATAGAACAAATAACAAACAGATATGATAAGTCTTTGGAGTATTTACTTAATATAGTGACCCTTCTCAATAACAGCCAACAATCTATTATCCATTGATAATAGATTGTGTATATATATACATACTTTTATTAGATTTGATCAAGTAAGAATTGCTTTGAAAAGATTTTATGTATCATTTACTCCATCTTGAGTCAATGATTTTTTTTTTTTTAACTCTAATTGGTTCACTAATTACCTCTATCTCTGGAGTTCTTGAGATTTTTTTAGATTATCATCAATGAATTTTTTTTTGTTTTTTACAAAAAAAATTTTTCTTAATGAAAGACAATTTATTATTAACATATATTAAAGACTCTTACCTGTTGACATCTGACTCTAAACTGTGCTTACTATTAACAAATACAAAATCAATAGTTAAGACAACATTACAAGAAAGCAGTTTAAATTTTCATGGCTTTCAATGATATAATTACACTAATCACTTAAATTTGTGACTGCTTGGGAGTACCAGGTGCTGTATCCTTGGAAGAGTGAGTGGTGTAATGTATAATGGCTTGGAATTGTTGATGAGAGCTGAATTCCAATTCCAGTTGGGTTCATTATATTCATTTACTTGCAAATACCCTTAGGAAAAATATGAATCCACCTCTTTTCCCTCCAGACTTGTATCACTAAATCATCTCCAAAAATATTTCCTGACTTTAAATAACCAGCAAAGAGCTGATAAGCTACAGAAAATGAATTCATTAAAGATGTGTCATAATAGTAGCCTGAACTATAAACATCAGTTTAATTTTCATCAATTCAAGACAATTCAGACAATCTTAAAAAAAAAAAGTGGATGAGTTGTGTTATCTGGTTATTGGTTTGTCAATTGTTAATGATATAAAAAGCAAAGAAAAAAAGTGAAATTCTGTGTAGGTTGTAATTCTAAGAAGCAACTAAACATTGGGAAATCTATGAAAGCTGGTAAAATATAAGGCATAATTTAATTATAATGAAATGGTACATAAGATGTTTATTGAATTAGGGTCAATTATTAAAGTAACAATTAAAATATAGATACAAGAATGATGAAAAAAAATTCTTTTAAAATAAAATTAAAGACAGCAATAGGAAGGACAGTTTTAGGTTGATGAATATAGTTTCATTGAGGTATGATAAATGAAGTCATGTGGTGGAAGGGATATTTTGAAAGTTCTCTAATAGACAATTATTTGTACTCTAATATTAAAACAAGTATTTGTATTCTAATACAATTTCATAAGTATTTTTCTTTTAATTGCAGGATGCAGAAGGATGTAGCATTGATCAGTTTAGCCAATGTTCTCCATCGTGCACGATACTCTAATGAGGCAGCAATAGTGGTTCATGCAGCTCTTGATGTGTCTAAAGAGCTGAATGTTAATCATTTCACCCTGGGTAATATTTATGCTGTAAGTTGAAGTTTCTATAAAGATACTCAAAGAAATGATTGGTTGTATTGGTGTCCATTTTTTATGCTTATAAAAATAGTGAAAATTTTTGTAGTATTTAATACTAGGTATTTTGTTAATATTTAAAATAATAGAATTGCATATGGATATCGACACTCCTTTCTGTATTTACCTGCATTCCTTTGGTGGCAGTATGTGACATATGGTTTGTTTAATGTGGGGTACCCATACACATATGGATCAAGGACAAAAATTGCTCAGTTCCCATGATGACTAGTTCTCCATCTTTAGCCCAATGAGAGAAGTGTTGCCACAAAATGTAATTTCTGAAATCAAGCTTCCTTCATTGTTTAGAGTGGCAGAGATTGTAGAGAAAAATGGTGATGAGAGTGGGGTCAAAATGTGCAGTGTGGTGCTCGCTGGCAGGCCAGCTATTTTTTCTTCTTCGGTTGCCAGTATCAATCAGCGCTGAACACCAAGTTCTGTCGACAAGGATGTTTACCACCGTGAGCACTGTATTTACATCTTGATTGGGGGGAAAAAGCTGGTGCAGATGCCTTGTCCTCTGTTCCCCAACAGTCTTGAGCCCAGTGTCCAACCTCCCCGCATTTCTCCTCCATTTCCATGTGGAGGGCTAGTGCATCCCCCTCCGGGTACAATGGCAGCAGGCTAACCACATCGTTCTCCTGATGAAGTTTTGCCACCAGCCTGATCTTTTTTAGCCATGCCACCACATCAGCCTGGCCGGAAAATGGTTTTATAACATCGCTGCTTATGCGAACCTTTGCCATAACCATTGAAATAGCTTGTAGAGAAAAATGGTGATGAGAGGGGGGTCAAAAAGTGCAGTGTGGTGCTCACCGGCAGGCCAGCTATTTTTTCTTCTTCGGCTGCCTGAAGGAAATGGATTGCATGGCTCCCTTTCTCAGCCGTTACACTTGTCAGTTGTGAAACAGACTCCAGGTCAGTCGCGCCTTCTTCGACTTCCTCTTTGCCTGTCTGTCAATCTGTATGTCCAGCTCTATTGCACGCTGTTCGCTGGATGACTTCGGTTCTCTCGTACTGCTGGCACCCTGCTTTTTATGCTATTCTAATATGGTCAAAATTTGCATGTGTGCAAATATCGTCTCGTTTTGGACGAGATAGGTGTGCATAAATTGCATCTTCAATAGTGGCCATGTTTCTTTTTGCCATCACTTTGCAGGCAAGACACATTCGCGCTTGTTTCGAATTCTGAGGTAAGTCATGTCTTTCATCACAGAGATCAGCCCTCCTTTCTCCCTCTCCAGATAAAGTTGCCAACTAAATTTGCCATGAAGTTAGCTCTGATTGGCTAATCACTCATTATCACAACAACCATGTAAATTAGCTGCCTCTGTCACATACTTTGATAAATTTCAAATAGGCTCTTATTAAGAGGGATAAATTGCACTCAACCACAGACAAATATGAAATATATATAAATAAACATTATTGTTTTGAGTTAAAAATTTTGCATACAAAAACTATGAAGAAATTTGTATCCTAGGAAAATATAAAAATTACATCTGAATTTTCAAATTATTTTTAACAGTAAACATATAAAAATATTTTTACAGCAAAGATTATTATATATACATGTTTATATTTTAAAGATGCATTTCTTGTAAAGAAACCTTTTGATAAACAGATCAAACTTGCAATAAGTAGACTCAAATATTTTATCTCATTAATTTCAAAGGCTATTTGTAAAATTTGGGTGTTGATTTAGGCCAAGATAATGTTTAAAATTTAATGTTCATTAAAAATGAAACCAACCCTTGAAGCTCTGTTATCTGCAATATTATTTGGAGTTTATAATGTTGCACATATCCTTTCATTCTTTGTTATTTTTTGTTTGATGGTTCAATTTGTTGACTTTGACAAAGCTTAACACAAGCTATTTGAGAGACTTGGCTAGCTGTTTTTCTTTTTGATATTGAAACCTCTTAAAACTGTTTAAAAACTTAATGTGAATTGGCATACATGATCCTACTTCATGACAAATCTATATTACAAAAAACATATAGTTAATTTGTGTTCTTATTTTAGGTTTTGGGTGAATACAACAAGTCTGTGATATGTTTTGAAAATACTCTAAAAATTCAACCAGAATTTGAAGCTGCAGCTAAGCGAAAACATGCAGTTGTTTGTCATGCTAAGCTTGAATGTGCACTGGAAGCTCAACACAGGTATGTAGAGATTTTAATTTGATTTTTTTTTTTTTTCTAAACTCTGTTCATTCAAAATTGGGAAGAGCTAAATTTTGAACCCTTTTTTATTTTCTCTATTGTATTTATGTAATCAAAATTTTTATAAGTACCAAGTACACTTTCTGGTGCATAATTAAATTATGTAAATGAATTCAGCAAGTTTAGAATTGGTGATTTTTTTATATATATATATATATATATAATAACACAAAATTTTATAATTAATAACAAACTTGCTATCACATGGCACTGTAAAAACAGTACTCAATGGCAGGAAAACAGCCAATATATGTAAAAATACAGACACAAAAGAATAAATGTATATGTATCTTTTTTAAAATAAAATGTAGGAAATGGACTCTCTCATAATAAACTTGCTTACGGCTACATCACGTTGAAACGTTGATTCCCGTACAATCACCAAAGTGAAGCAACATTGGGCCTGATCAATACTTAGATGGGTGAATGCTTGGGAATACTAGGTGTTGTAAACGTGGATGTGTGGGTGGTGTAATGGATAATTGTTAATCGGAGAGCAGAGTTCCAATTTCAATTGGGTTCATTATATACATTTATGTGCAAATACCCTTGGGAAAGGTATGAATCCACTTTTTCTACTCCCAGCTATGGGTTAATTGGGAAGACTTGTATCACTAAAACCATTATTATCTCCAAAAAATTAAAACACTGTACAAAATATTTAGATTTCGGTATTAAATAATCCATAGAGGTTGATATGCCACTAAACGGAAACAACCGACAAATTATAATAGATTTAGAAAATTCATTCTTGTTTTATTTGACTTGTATAAATTTAACAGAATTAGATCATTTCATATATAACTGAATATTTGTTTGTTCCATTAAGTTTTTCTAGATTGTAAATCTTTCTTGTGAAATTCTTGTTCTGAGCATAAAAAGATTGTGTCTAAATCTGAACTGATTGAATATTCTTTTGTGGGTTTGATAGTTATAGAGCTTTTAGATCTATGATTTGCAAATAATTTTAAAAATTTGTTATAATGATTCATAGACGTAAAGTTTTAAAATCTTGTGACCTGAAAGAAAAAAAAATTGTGTTCTCATAGTTCATGGCATATTTAATAAAAGTAGCAGATTTCATTGAGATACTTCAAGGTGGAGTGCAGGTAGTTTAATGTTATGTTCATTTAGAACTACTTTTAGATGTTCTTTTATCATGTGTCAACAATTATTATGACACACTTGGGACTTCCTTGAATAACTATATCTGGTAATTTTTAGTTATTGTTGAATGGAAGCCCTTTATTTCATCCAAGGGAAGTATGTTGCTCATCCTTTGCTTTTTTGCCATATCTGTTATCCTATCTGAGGGTATCAAAGTTTGTAATGTTTTTTTTGTGTTGCTACTTTTTTTTTTCCACTCCTGTCCTACTTAAAACAGGAACTGAACTTATTTAACGGAGATCTAATGCTTTTACTCACTAAGTCCTATCTCATAGGGCGCTAAGAAAGTATTATTTTGGCGCCTTAGACATAAGGATTTTTTAAAATTTTTATTAATTTAATGATTTTTTTTCTTTATTAGATGCTTTATATGGTTTTCATGTGTATAATAGGCTTGCTAATTAGATATTTTGAGTATAGCATGTATGCTGCTGCTTTTAATCACCTTATTTTCCAATGTTGTTTCTTGTCTGTTATTTGGTGTTGGTGTAATCTCTTGATTTCATAGCCTCTTCATGGATCATGGCTTTTTAATGTTATTAAAACTTTATTTTTAGGGGGTGACTGGTTTCTACTTTGTATTTTCTACCACATGGGATATTGTACACCACATTCTTGGTCATATTTTCCTCTGGTGTAGGTCTAACCTTGGTGAGGTGGCTGTATAGAGTGGTGCTGCTTCTGAATACTCTCCTGATGTTGTGTAGCCCACAGATCCTCTGAATTTTCTCCAACACGCCTCTGCTGTAAGGTAGGGAGACTGTTGTTAGATTTTATTGTTCGCCAAACTTGTACATCTAGTGGATGTTATGCGTGTAGGCCATATATATATAATATATATATATTTTTTTTTTTTCTCTAAGAGGTTGTCTCTTATGCAGATCATCTAAATGAGAAGTTTCTGGGTTGGCATTCTTAGAAATGTTTTAGGCAATGGATAATGCTTTTCTTTTTACTGCATCAGTGGTGGGAATCTAAGTCCAACAGGAAGGATGCTGGATGTAACAAAAAAAAAAGCAAAGGATGAGAGTAATATATCCTGTGGATGAAATAGTTATGTTCAACATTCCCTGAAGGTTATTAGAGGAACGCCTGAAAGAGAACAGTGGCTAAAATATAATAAAAGCAACCAAGATGGAGATGTATGTCCAGATGAATCATTTTCAAACTTTCAGACATAAATCTACTCTTGGCTTGCATTTTTTATACAAATTATATTTGATACTATGCTTTGCAGATGCACTTTATCATATTGAAATTAAATATTGGTTGTATTCTAATTAATGTGTAAAAAGAAATAAGTTTAATTTGTATTACTGAATTTAGATTGATTTGTTAAATGTGGCTAGGTATGAATCTTGCATTTGTTTTTGTATAATTAAAACATTTCTACAAAGCTTCTAAGATAAAAGTAAATTTCCCATCTTAAAAGGTTCATTGTAAATAAGATTCATATTTTTCATAAGATTTCTTACTGTAATTAAAATGATACTGTTGACATGGATTCTTCCAGATCCTTGCAGCGTACATTGAATGATCTCAAAGACTATCAACGGAAACATGATTTTTGGCAGCAACAGAACACTAAGTTACAAACAGAACAAGTTCCTGCTGATGTGAAACTTGTCCAGGAGCAGACATTTGATCAGCACAGTGCCTGGCAGGCACACCTTTGTAAGATTTTACTTTTATATTAAAGAAAAATTACTTCAGTAACATACATAATTTGAGACAATGAAAAGTGGATAAGTATAGACATAAGAAAATGCTACCAAGAATTGCCTGGATGGAGGCAATAACTTCAAATAAATGTTCATTATTATATTTCTTTTTACTCAACAAATGAAAAAAATTATTTGAAAAAATAGTTGTTACTGAAAAAAATATACTGACGCCCCAAACAAATCATGTAATCTCTTGGATTGACTGGGATCTGGGTAGACAACATTAGTGCTTCTTTTATGGAGTGCTAGCATGAAATGTTTATTTGTGGATCCAGACTTAGAACAATGAAAATATAACTAGCTGTGAGAAAAGCATGGAAAGTCAAGGTAAAGCCAGTGATGATGAGACATTGTCCTTGTGCCATTTAATGACAAAGTTGAGTTTCACAAAGAATTGAAGTTGCTCAAGTTCAAATGGCAAATCTGTTGGAATGGTGTTGAATTTGCTACCCTAGTTACATTAATGGCATGTATACATGTTAGAAAAATAGCTAGCTAACTTTACAGGGTTGAGGTTTCTAAATCCCCCAAATCTTTATCAGTATACATTTTGTTATCTATCCTACCATTTGTGAGGTCAAAAAACATTTTTCTATTTCTTAGCAATCTAAACATATCACTTTATTTTGATAGAAATAACTTCATTTGATAACTTCTGATGACTTTGAATGACTTTTAGAGGTCAGCTTCACATAATCTGTCACAGCTGGATGTCTTGTTTTCATGCCAAAAATTAGGTCATGTAGTGATGATTTTTTTTTTTTTTTTATAATTGAAAGAACATTGAGAGAAAGGAAATATAAGGTTACTAATACTGAGTCTTAATATTTTACCTATCTATTTTTAAGCATGAAATAATATTTCTGTATTCATTCTAAATTTTCATTAATAATTTTAGATTCTTTAATTTTCTTAACTCCAATGTAAGGTAATTTTTTTTTTTTTTTTTTTTTTTTTAAGCTGACTATTGTCAAATTATGGATCATCATGGGCATCACATATTGGAATGTAACCAAGGTAAAAAGCAGTCTCCAAATTTTGATTTCTCTTTCACTTTAGAAGATCAACCATCTTCACAAAAAACACAGGTAAGTATGTCCTTTTTTTATGCACAAACTAAAACTTTTATAATCACAATTTCTCAAATTGAATCAACATGTCATGTATTTAATAAATGTCAATTCTCTATTAACATTGGTGAAATAAATTTCAATAAAATTTATATGCATAGCAACATAATAATTTTAGGTTCTTTTGGTAGTTTTCTGATAAAGATATTCTAGTAAATAAATTTCTTTATCTTTGTAAAAACTGATAAGAAACCAAAATGTTTTTGTTGGACAAAAAGAATTAAATTTGGTCATTAAATTTTTGTTATTCTGTTATCACAAAAATCATACTTGTGTTTAAAGTGATCCTTGTTTACAGTGAATTGAACTCGGTGAAAAACTTGACAAGTGCAGTAAGAAAATAACTTTTTTATGAACTGTAAAAACTTAGTGGGGAAAAATGGATATACATTCTTAATAATTGAAGTACAAATTTAAATTTTTAATTTTATAAACTTTTTGTTATCATTGATAGAATTATTATGGCTTTAAAGACCAACATTTTAAAAGTATACATTCATGTAATTATATATATATAAAAAAAACAAAGGGTAGGTTGCTCAGACTTCAAACCCAAGACCTTAAGACCTAATTAAATTTAAGTAACTGTTACTCTCTAAGCTGAAGGAATGGTTGTTGGATCTAAATGTGATCTGTGATTTATATTGCAGATTCTCTGGTACTATTTTTATTTCCTTTTTTTAGTCATTGTACACATGTTTTGTCTTCAATTGAGTTTTGAAGAGTGGAGAGTAATGTTAGCTTTTTTGTTTCTTTTTCTTATTTTTCAATTGACCACTTTATGGTGAGTAATACTTTTTATTATCCATGCCCCCCCCTTAACATAGTTGTGTATATTATGTGAATATATAATTTTAAAATGTTTGCTTTTAAAGCCATAATAAAATCTTATCCACCCACTTCCACAGCTGAAATAGATGATCACATATCAGTTTATAGTTTAACATTGTGCTGCAGTAATTGTCTGTAACAAAGTTTAAAAAAAAAAAAGATAAAAAAACCCCAACTTGCTTGGTTTACCATTCTATAGTGGTCAAATTCTTTGCGGGATCAAATATATGAATATGGAACAATGGCTGATAGTAATAAATGACAAACGCCTATATACAAATTAACAAAATTTAATTATAGCTAGACAATACATGAAAACATTTAGGCAAGAGAATGTGTGGAAAGATGTATGCTATACATTTCTCTCTGAGAAGATGTATGCGTTATTTTGTGAGGGTAAAAGTTGAAACAAAAACTTCAATTCTGAAATAAAATAAAATTTTCTCTTTTCTCTCATGTTTCTCTTTGTCCTTTTGACTTTCAAATCAGTTTGTTTGCTCAAGTAGCAGTATCCTTTGATTTATTTTTCTTTCTTCAGTGTCTCTTTCCTTAGTCAGTTGTGGAGGTTCATTTGGTTATGGAGATTTGGCACTATATGAGTCATATATTTAGCTGAGCAGAATTCATAGTTCACATGAGAATTTAATAAATGATCTGTCTCCTTTTGAACTTTATTACCCCAACTGGTTTCTGTTCATCTTTTTCTGCTCTATCATTTGTATTTTGTCACGCAATTTGTTACGTGTATGAGAATTTATTTTTAGCTTTGGCTCCCACCTGTTGTCAGTAACTTTTGACTAATCGTCTTTGGCATTCAGTGACTGATATTATATATTCAAAGAGAGAGGGGAAGTTCCCATGTTACATTATTAGAGAGATGGGTTGTTAAGTGTATAGATTGTATGTGGGTATGGGTTGTAGAAATCCATAACACCTCCCCACGCAAAAATAAAAAAAGAATTTTAATCCCCCACCTTTTTTTTTTTTTTTTTCTACTGGTAAATTTAGATGCAAGACTGCATTGGCACACTTATTTTCCATGCCACTAATGTGCTCAATTTTTAAGTTGAATTCTTGTAAAGCTAAGCTCCATACTAGGAGTCCTCTATTTTTATTCTTCATTCTGTCTATGAAAACCAACGGGTTGTGAGCCATGAATATTGTAGTAAGTGGCTGTGCCATAGTAACATAACTTTCAAAATGTTGTAAGCTAGATATTAGGGCTAAAGTTTCTTTTTCTAATGTAGAATAATTACAGTTTGTTCACGGGTTATCCAGTCATCAGAATTTGTGATCTGAGATGGTTTCCATATTCGCATTAATACATCATTTTTGATATAATGGGACTTTGCTATATTATCTGCACTACCCACTTCCCTTGCTTGATTAAAGAGTTGCATTAGTTCAGGGGTAGGCTGTTGTTCATTGATCAGGTCGCTCTTCAACATAGAGATGTCTGAAGGGGTTTCATCACTCTCAACGCTTCTCCTTTCTCTAATTCTATTCAACTCTGTTATACTAGCATTACAGTTCATGAAGATTTGGGACAAGTCTATCTGTTTGTCTTCCTTCCCAATATTTATGTTTCATTTGTGTACAAGTTACTGCACTCGATACTGCATTAGTTTTTCTAAGTTCTTTATTTGAACTTTTCTTTCTTACTGGTTTCTTGGTTTGGTTGGGGAAGAGGTCATCACATTTCTACCTGCCAAATCATTTCCTAATAGCATTTCCACTCTGTTCATGGGAAGTTTATATACTATGCCCACTGTAAATGATCCTGGTATTAAGTTTGATTCTATGTTAATTTTATGTAGAGGGATGCTCACAAATTTACTTCCAACTCCTCTAATATTTATCTGCCTACTAGTGGCTGTCTTCTGTCCTCCCAGCAAATGCCTTTGCAATAGAAGTGATTGGGATGTGCTAGGATCCCTCAAAATTCAGATCTGCCTTTGCCTTCTATAATCTTTTACTGAAGAAATATATCCATCAGACATGAATGGTTTATATATGTCTGTTATTTCATTCACTGTGGTTTGTTGAGTACTGAACTATTTAATTTATTGTTCTACTGAGTCTAACAGTTAGCTATGCTATGCTTTGTCTTCTGACAATAGTGGCATGTAATTGGTTTACTTTCCTGTCTGATTGTTGGTTGGTTGATTGGTTGTCCTCTGTGTTCCTGCCTTTTTTGTAACACACTTGTTTCACTTTACTAGGAATCTGGATTCCTACATTAGGTTTGCCTTTGCTTTTCCTGTGATTTATGGTATATATGTTTGCTAATATGGCTAACTCATGAGCAGTCTCGGTTTTTCTTTTGTCTATATGGACATTAATTTCCTCAGTTATACAATACTTGAGCTCTGACTAGTTGTTTTAGCATACCTATGGACAATAATGGGTATGTCCCCATTCACATAAATACAGCAGTAAATACTGTATGTTGGTCTGTAGTTGGAGATTCATTGTGGAATTCACTTGACTCACTTCTAGCAGTTGGCTACTTCTTCTACGTGCTGCTGACGAATCTTATATGTGTTGTTCTTATTATCATTCATTACCAACCTTTGTTTGATTATTCTATTCAGTAACCTTCCCTAGGTTATAACACCAGTATAATCTCAGCTTTTCATATTCATGTCTTTTGGGCTTTCCCACATAAGACTGTTTGAAGTAACATTGGCCAGGTGCTTTTTTGGCCAGTTTAAATTAATTGCTCTCTTCTCAAAATGTGAGAAATAGTCATCTATTTCATCCTCCTTGAATTTATGTACTATAGCCTAATTTGACTGGTAAGGTCAAACCCTTGTTGCCTTACCTCACTATCTTTTCTGTTTATTTCTAATTCCCGGAATCTGGTTTCTTGTTCAATATGTGCCTTTTCTAATTCTGCTCTAGTGGTTAATTTGGCTTTCTCTAGCTCAATTTGGGATTGTGACATTTCCTGCACATCTACCGATAATTGATTTAGTATTTCTTCTTCAGATATGTCATTGTCAACCATATGCTCAGCTATTACTCTTACTAAGCTTGCCGTTCTCATGGCTTTCTAACTCTGTGTTTCCTTACTGCTAGTACATTGTCTTTTCTTAATTTGTTTGATTGGTCTATGTATAGTTCTTTCAAAAAAGCTTTTATGACTGCTATCTTATTATGTCGTCTATTCACCACTATTGTTCTCCACATGTATTTTCACTGCAGAGAATCCTGGATGAGCCCCCAATTTATGTTACGGACAATTACTGTAGTATAAAGTTTTAAAAAAATAAACAAAAAAAAACTTGTCTAGAAGATGCCAGGTTTATCACTCCAAAGTGGTCAGATTCTTCGCAGTGTCAAATACATGAATTTGGAGCCATAACCAACAGTAACAAATAACCAATGTACAAATTAACAAGATTTAATTATAGCTAAACATTTAGGCAAGAGAATGTGTGGAAAGATGTATGCTATACATTTCTCTATGTAAAGATGCATGTATTATTTTGTGAGAATAAAAGTTGAAACAAAAACCTAGTTTCAGTTCTTCTGAAATAAGATTTTCTCTTTTCTCTCATGCTTCTCTTTGTCCTTTTTACTTCAATTCAGTGTATTTGCTCAAGTAGCAATGTCCTTTGATCTTTTTTTCTTTCTTTAATGTCACTTTCGTTAGTTGGTTGTAGAGGTTCGTTCGGTTATGGAGATATTGTGCTATATGAGTCTTATTTTGTTCAGAATTCATAGTTCAGATTCTTTGTCTAACTCTCTTAGGTGACTCACATTTTGCCATTCACCTATGCCTTTAATGTAAGCAGCATGTTTTATCATGTGATCTCTTTTGCTTGACTGTAAGAAGTAGAAGAGAGATTATTTGCACAAGACTCATTCTGCTTAATTCTCTACTTGGAGTTTATGTGAGTTGGAGATGGCATTCCTCCTGTTCAGTTCAGAGAATCAATTTAAATGAGAATTTAATAGATGATCTGTCTCCTTTGAGCTTTTCCACACTTGATCATCCATATTTGGCTATGCAATTCGACATATATATGAGAATCTATTTTTAACTTCGGCTTCCACCTGTTGCTGTCAGTCCCTTTTGACTTAATTGTCTTTGCATTCGGTAATTGCTATTATATATATATATTCCATATTATATATAATTATATATCCCAATGTACAATATAAGAAAGAGGGGCTGTTAAATGTAGCTTGGGTATGGGTTGTGAGTCGTGGAAAGACATGACAACATAAAAAATCAGAATTTGAAATAATTAATTAAAACATTTCCTACTTAGATATTTGACATTTTTTAACTTATGAAAGTAGTAATTTTTATGTGCTTGTGATCAAAACAATTGTATGGTCTCTTGATGTCTATCAATTTATGTATTTTTACTACCAAACTGATATTCTGCAGTTGAATAATGTGTGAAAGTTATTAACTGTAACCTGTGGGCCTGTTTCATGGCTGAGATGGTTGCATATTTCATACCAGTGGAAAAAATCAGGTTTCAAGCTCAAACATTTGGAATGCTGATTTGGAAGATTGCATACAGTTTTTCTCTTTCCTTTTGGTTTTGTGTACCATACTAAGTTGTGAGAAAATTTTGAAATATCATTTACACTCTCCATGACAAAAATTACTGAGTAAACTTGCTTATTTTTATTATCATTTAACAATTACTTAGTAAAACTACTGCAATGAAAGTTGCAGGAATCAATGTGCATAAGCTCATTCTTTATTTCAGAAATTTATAAAATTATTTGTAATATTCTATTATAAGAAACTTTACAATAAGCTATCTTGTATTATTTGATAATGTTTTGTTTATCATTTCAAAATGTTCTTTTTATCTTTTTCTGTAGGAAAATTCTGTGTGGACTTTAGAGGATAAAAAAGAACCAGATTATTCTGTGCCTATCCATCGTCCTCTTTACTCCAAAGAGAGTAAGGTAAGTCAAGTGCAAATTCTCTCTGTTTGTTCTTGACTTTAAAGCTGGAAGATGCACCAGGAATAACAGTTTTTAATCACTAGGTTTTTTTTTCCGTAATTTAAACTTTAACTTCTTTATCTTATAAATACAAGAATAAAGTAACTACACTAAGTAATTGGATGACAAAAATTGAGTCTTTTATTTATGTAAATTTTTAATAATCTAAAGATTTTATTTATATTGATTTTCTTGTACAGAGGAAGTCATATTTGATTTCTTCTTGAGCTCTCATTAATTTAAGCTCCTTTAACATTGCAGCACACACATTTTTAAAAAGAAATCCTCCATGAAAATAAGTTGATGTAATACTTTTTCAAACAAATATTTTCTTTTACTTAACATAACTCAAAGCCCATATTTCATCGGTCATTGAAACACCTTTATGGTGCCGCTTGTGTGTGTGTGTGTGTTCATGCGTGCGGGGACTGTTTAGAAATATATTCTATTTTCCATGCAGATCAAAATATTTTATTACTTGATCAAATATTCAGTACATGCTATTCTTTTCAAAAACTTGAAAAAAAAAATGCATATCAAAGATATTCCATTTGTTTTTTTAAATAGGATTTTGGATCAATATTAATTTTCAGTTTTCACAGGCCATTATAAATGTTTTATTTTTTAACAAATGAAAACTCTATTAGTTATAGAATTTCACAAGTATCAATATTCATACTTGTATTCGATTATTTATTAGTGTGCCATACATATCTTAATTACTAACAATTGTGCCTTTAATGTAATAATTGATTCACCAATTTATAAAATTTTCCAGTGGTTTTGTTTTTGAAATTTACTTATATAGAGGGAATTTGGAAGTGTATTATAAACATAATTTATCAATTAATCTGAAATTTTAGTTATGACTTATTTTAGTTTTCTATGTGCTGTGTTCTTTCAGGATGTGGGTGACCATGGCTCACCACAATCTGCTATCACTTGTAGCTTTTACCAACATTTGTCCCTTTGCCAAACCTTGCACCCCTCCCTGTTCTTTGTCAGTTGTCCCCATTACATTTCTGTCCCTCTTCCTCTTGATGTGCTCTGTAGATGTCAAATTCTCCAAGCCCTCCTTTCTCATGTTCAAGAAATTTCAGCTGTCTCTTTCTGATTCTGTGTATGTCTTTTTCATTTCTTTTTTCCCCTTAAGATATTTTCATTGCTTACACTGTCCATGGAATTCTCAGCACCTTTCTGTAGAATCACATTTCTGTTGCCTTCCAGTTTTCTGTAAGGAGGTTGTCCAGCATTCACTACCATACAAGAGGATTGGTATTACATAAGAGTTCAGCATTCTTTTTTTAGTATTTTGTTTAGCTTTTCAAATGCATCTTTCGCTAATCCAATTTTTGTGTCATATTTTCTATCCTCTATTAAAATACTTTCCAGATAATTAGACTTCTGTGCTTGTTTTATGTTGATATCTCTGACTTGTAGTTTGCATGTTGGGCTTTTTCTTTTGCTGACAACCATACTTTTTGTTTTCTTATAGTTGATGGTTAGTCCCTTCTTCTTGCTTTCCTTCACTAGCCTGCCTTGGAGTTCCTGTAGTTTTCTTTCTGTGTCTGCCATTAACACAATATCATCTCTGTATCTCCTCTTATTAATATTACACCCACTGATGATAAAGCCTGCTAGGGTCTCCAGCTCCCTTAGTATAGCCTTGCTGCAGAGAATATTTTGGAAAATGTTCTTATTAGCTATTTGGCTTTATTTCAATCTGTTATAAGTCTGTTTTTCTAAGTATCATGGTAAGAATCACATTACTGTTATATTGGAAATGAATTGGATAAAAAAACAAAACAAAAACTATGATAGTTGGTACTTAGGAATTCAATAGCTTAAATGATGATGATTAATACTTTATTGATTGACACAAATTCTACAATGAAGAGTTTTCAGGCATTTATTTTATTAATCAATTTGCAAATTTGATTGTTCGATGCTGCTTTGCAAAAAATGCCTGATAGATTTGTAAATTCATATTTAAATTTAACTAATTATTTAAATTAAAGTTGACTTCTTGTAAGACAGCTTGCTATAAAATCAGTACTAAGATTCTTTTGTAAATAGATTACCATTTTCTGTTCAACTCAATTCCTCAGGTTACAAATTCTATTTGAGTTAACTTTTGAGATCATCTCTAAATTTTTTTTTTTTTTTTTTTAATTGTGAAGTTTTTCCAACAAAATTCTTTATATTTTTTTTTTCAATTTTTCAGCACTCTGTATTAACTTAAATTTAGTTGTGAAGTTAACAAAACCATACATAAATTTAGTAAATTGATCAAAGTGTGCCAGATCAAAACTATTCCTCCCCCCAACTCATTGTTTGATAATCACAAATTTCAAAATATTTCCTGATTGCAGATAAATTAATGTCCATAAATTGTAACTCTTATTCTTCACTATATGTTTAAATATTTTTCTAAAGTAAATAATTATCTGAATAAGTATACCTGCTTTTATCCTTCATTTCAAATCATTAGAACTAATCCCCCCCACCCCCAATTTTGGATTTTGTTATGTTGAGAAGCATTTATCATGTAAAAGAAGATTCCCTACTTATGATAATATTATTTTATTTCTCTTAATTAGGTCCATGTTTCAGTATAACTTGGATAGCCTTTGACATTTTGAGCTTTTACTTTTGGGAATATTTAAATATTTAAATTTTAGTTATTTAATGTCATCTATTTTTAAATCACAACTTATTGAATAGTTTCAATATATTTGATATAAAACAAATGAAATTCTTCTATATGTTTATAAAGTTTAAACAATTCTCTCTTGTTTCTCAGTTCTGTTTATAATGGTTAAAATTAGTAGCATTCCTAAGTGGGAATTAACATAATAGTTTGGGATAAGATATTTTTTATTCATTTAATGTTATGAAGTTCGAAGAATCTTTGATACATCATCCTCTTTGAATTTGGGCACCTCCGCGTATTGTAATAGTTAGCAAGCTTGTTTCGCTAGATTAGTTACGACCGAGTTTGATCCTCGGCCTTGTGCTACATCTAAGCTATGCTTAGAAAATACCCATCCTCTTTGAATTCAGAGTGGTATGTACATTTCATTTCAGAATTCATTTTTGGTTTATTATCAAATTTACATACTGATGTTTTGCAGTGTAGCATGTGGTTTAATGGTTGTCAGCATAGTAAATGGAATCTGCAAACAGTTCAGTTTTTAGCTGAGGCAGTTTGTGTTTACTTCATTTTAATGTTAGGTCAGGAATTATTTCCTGTTTCCTGGCCTCCATCTATGAGTAAATAGCAGAGTAGTTGGAGTTCTTCAGCTTTGTCAGTCTGTTCAGGCTAATAGAAAAAAAAAAACATTGATTGCTTAATTATTTTGTTTGTTTGCTGAGCAACCAATGAAGGTCACCAAATCTAAAGAGTGGACTCTTTATATGAGAGGAGTTGGCAATAGTTGGACATTCCATCGTTATAGGTCTTGTACATGAAGAACAAACCAATAAAAACAATTCAGATGTTTTGATGTGATTTGAATTTGAAAAAAAATCTGACAATAGTACATTTAATGTATAATAATTCATATTAATATTCTTTTAATATGTGGTACTTTTTCTTTTAAATGAAGCATGATTATATTGTGCCTTTTATCCCAAAAGCAAGGCTTCATAAATAAATACATTCTTTGCTAAACTATGCAGTATAGAAACTCATTATTAGGTAATAATAATAAAAAAATAGCAAAACAAATGGCCTAAACAATAAGAAAGGTGTAGGTAACCAAACAATTATAGATTTTTACCCCATTTAATCACCAGGTTTCCATAGATGAATTAGTTAAGTTGATGCCCATGAAAGACAGGCTTCTGAGGCATGGGGTATAAGTTCAAGTCCCATTAGAAGCTATTTTATTTTTTTATGCTGTTTACTTTAGTGAACTAAAAGTATCCATCTATATTTCTGAGATGAGGTATTATTTACATTATTTGGACTATTGTCCTCATCTTTGTCGCCATATTTATTACGTTTCTGCCGTTGTATGTTTCGGCCTTCTTCAGGTGGTTGGAATGTTGAACTGAACCCTTTATTTCGCTCACTGGGGTAGACTGTTATAGTTCCATGTGCTATGTTTAAGGGATGTCAGTTATCAGTTATCTCCTGTTAATTTCCCTCTGAATGTTCTCCACTGCCTTGACCAGGTATTGAACTCACACTCTTTGGGTCTTGTCACTGGATCTCCATGTGTCCTTGAAGAAGGCTGGAGTGTACAATGGCCGAAACGTAATAAATATGGCGACAAAGATGAGAACAATAGTCCAAATAATGTAAATAATGAACTAAAAGTGTTGTGATAAAAAGGCAACAATTCATTTAACCATAGCTTTACAATTAAAAAAATATATATATATCTTCAGATTTCTGGAGATTAAATATGCCATAATAATGTAGATTACAAATATAACTAAATTTAAAAAAAAAAATTAAGTTTAGTATTTATTAAGAATAACTTTTGTTTACTGCTATATGTAGGAAAGTTGTCATGTAAATTCCATGGCTATTATGATGACAATTAACCTTGTGAAATGTTATTGGAAAATATTCATATTCAAGGAATTAGTATTTAAAAATATGAAAGTTTTAAATATTCATCATCTGGAAAAAAACATTAATTAAAAAAAAAACAAAGTGAATTTTCTATGATTCTGAGTAGGGTATTTTTTTTTTTTTTTTTTTTTTTTTTTTCATTTTAGCTTAGGCAGCAGTTTTTGATGAATTGTGACAAAAATATTTTCCATCATAATTTCTTTATTGCATTCAATTAATTAATATAATAATATAATTATTTATATTAAAATAGTAGTAATTATTTTTAGTTATTAAATATGTTACTGTTAAAAATATTTCAATTTTTCTTTGCTTTATTTCTCTTTTTGCCTTTCAAAGCACAAAGTAGTTGATCCTCTCTTTCTCTTGATGTTTG